TTCAATATCATTTGTTGGTAGTAATAGTTCTATACTGTTTGTGAGATGTGTTGATGAGAAGTGAGGTGGCGGAAGAAGCTTTCGATCTATTTTTCCATTTGCATTCAAAGGTAGTTTATCAAGAATAATAAATATTGATGGAATCATATGTGGTGGAAGATGAGATTGACAATATTGGCGTATTTGTTCCTCATTGATATGAGATGATTGAACATAAGCAACTAAATAATCATCATTCCATTTCATGACAACACAAGCAGAGATGGATGTAATGCTAAGTAAACATCGTTCGATTTCACCAAGTTCAATTCTTTGTCCATGTAGTTTGATTTGATGATCTTTTCTTCCTTGATAATGAAGAAGACCATTGTTATCCATTCTCACAAGATCACCTGTTCGATAAAACAGTTGACCATCTATTTCGATAAGAGCTCTTGCAGTTAAATCATCACGTGCAAGATAACCAGCAAAGACACCTGCTCCTCCTGCAAAGAATTCACCTTGCTGACTGGTGGCAGATGATTGTAAATATTCATTCACAATCATACATCGATAATTATAAAATGGTCTGCCCATTGGAATGCTCTGTGTATCATTTGTAACATTCACACAATGGATTGTAGAACCTATGGTTGCTTCAGCTGGACCATACAAATTCCATACAATACAGTTTGTTATACCGTTTTTCACAATTAAATCAATTAGAGGAACAGAAAAAGGTTCACCTACAACAATACATATACATTAGATTAGCAAACAAAACTATTTGAAAGTCACTCACCGCTGCTGCAAAGTGATCGGAGATGTCTCACGGCATTTATGCCCTGGTTCTGCACAATAAAAATGAAAAAACTGTGTAGTAAACTTGGTACAGTATGTAGATATGTGATTTGTTTGTTCTGTAACACTTTAGATAAATAATCAAAATCAATAGTTCCACCTGGACGAAGCATAATCAATGTGCCTCCAATCAACAATGTACCAAGTATCTCTTGAACATGAATATCAAATGAGCATCGTGTCATTTGTACAACTGTATCATCTTTATTAAATGAGTTAATATAAGCCAAGGAATTGATGCAATCAATAAAGTTCTGATGTCGAACTTGAACCTATCAAACAGAATGAAAATAAATTAGATATTTGAAAATGAAATGAAAACGAACCGCTTTAGGTGTTCCAGTGGAACCACTAGTGAAAATAGTGTATGCTATCTCTTCGCTTTTCACTACCACATTTGGAAGACAATTATGATTCATGTCATAAATATTTAATATTGAATCAATATCAAGTGAAACAATATCATCATCGAACTTCGTTGTAGTTAAATAATGAACAAGAACAAGACGACTTCCTGTTTGTTGCATGAGTGCATGCAAACGATGTTGTGGGTCCCGCGGTGATAACGGACAATAAACACCACCAGCCATTTCGATTCCCATAATACCAATCACCTACAGAAAATCAATCTCAAACTCACATTAATTGTCATTCTTCTTAATTAACTTACCATTGACAAACTTCGCTCAACACATTGACATACGATCTCACTTGGAAATACATGATATTCATTAAGAAGAGTTAAAGATACGACTTGAACATAGTATAGAAGTTCACAATATGTTAATGATTGTTCATCTAGTTCAACAGCTAGTTTTTGTGGATGTTTCATGACTTGATATACAAACTCATGATGAATACAAGTGAGAGAAGATGAAAATGATATTTGTGTATTATTCATCGATTGCATTAGATATTGTTCATTTGATAATCTTAATGATAGTTCATAGATAGGTCTATTCATTTGATCATCAACAGATATAAAGAACTGATGTAATATTGAATGAAATCGCTGAGATATCTTATCAATTGTCTCGAGATTGAACAAATCGAGTGAGGCATTGATTGTACATGAAAGTTGATTCATGCTCGTATCATAATGGAATGAAAAAGAGAAGTCCGATACACTTAATACCTCATCTTCATTGTCGTTGAATGAGAAAGATCCTGGAACAAGTCGAGAATCACCAATCATCAATGCATTATTGTCATTGTTGCTCTTGTATGATATAAATTCCAGAGATGTATCGAGAAATGCATGTTTGGAAATATGTGGATGTTGATTTAGATTACGTTGAAGCGGAAAATATGAGTATTTCATGCTAGTTGTTATTATCTGTTGAACATGTTCGAACAATTGATGGAAACACCAATGTGAATCTAACTGACATCGTAATGGAATGACATTCTCAAACAGTCCAATGATTGATTTGAGTTCATCTCTATATCGATT